CGGGCAGTTTTAGCAATGTGGTCTGAGAAATTCAGCTTATCATCAATCACAACTCCAAGGTTTCTATTTGTTTCTATTCTATTTATATTATATTATTCACATATATATATATATATATAAATATATACATATATATATACACACACACACATACACACACATACATATATACACAAACACATACAAAGAAGAACAAGTAGATAGAATAGAAAAAAATAGAAATTTAGTGTTTGTTTTTGTTTGTCTTTTTTGCTTGTTTTTAAATATAGATAAATATAAAGTAGAATTAAAATAGAATAGAAAGTGTTAGAGTTAGAGTGTCAAATAAAGGTGGAACAGATGTGTTTTTAGTCGTTTCTTGAAGATGGGTAAGGACTCAGCTGCTCGGATTGATTTGGGCAGGTCATTCCACCAGGAGGGAACAGTTAATGAAAAAGTCTGTGAAAGTGATTTTGTGCTCTTTTAGATGGCACAATAATACACCGTTCACTAGCAGAACGTAAGCTTCTAGAGGGTACATAACTCTGAAGTAATGAATTTAGGTAAATGGGTGCAGAGCCAGTGGTGGTTTTGTAGGCAAACATTAATGCCTTGAATTTAATGCGAGCAGCTACTGGTAGCCAGTGTAAATTGATGAACAGAGGAGTGACATGTGTTCTTTTCGGCTCATTAAAGATTAATCTTGCAGTGGCATTTTGGATTAATTGTAGAGGTTTGATAGAAGTGGCTGGAAGACCTGCCAAGAGAGCATTGCAATAGTCTAGCCTGGACAGAACAAGAGCTTGAACAAGGAGTTATGTTGCATGTTCTGAAAGAAAGGACCTGATTTTCCTAATGTTGTATAAAAGCAAATCTGCAGGACCGGGCAGTTTTAGCAATGTGGTCTGAGAAATTCAGCTTATCATCTTTATTTTCACATGCATATTAAACAATGTGTTGACTGATGTATTGATTTAATCATGACTAAAGTTCACGGTGAATATTTGAAGGTCACTGTTCTGAAGTCTTGAAATCAGCATACACACTCTCAGAAAAAAAGTACAAAGTTATCACTACCTAAGATACAAAAGCTATATATCTTCATATAGTGCATATTAGTAAGGTACCACCCCGGTGACAGTTTTGTAGCCTACTTTTTTTTCTGAGCGTGTAGGCTAGGCCTACTGTACATTGCCTGATTATTTACGTGTCATTGAAAAATATTTTAATACAAGGTTGACCAGAAGCAAATCACAATGTGTTTTTATATTGACATTTTTCAGTGAAGTATATGATGGCAAGCATTTATGCATTTTCCAGATACATTATCCAAAGGCATTTAAGATGCTGTCAGATTAGCGAAATTTGTGGGCAAAAAAGGTATGGTTACACTTTACTTGAAGGGGTGTGCATAAGACTGACATGACACCTTCATAATCATGACATGACACCTACATAATCAAGACACGACACATGTCATGAATATGAAGGTTTTTTATGCATGTTTATGACAACTGTCATTAAGTGTCATTCGCTCAGTTATGTAATTTTTAATGCAAAGATGACATTGTTTGAGATGTCTTTGTTATGGGCTATGGTTAGGGGTACGGGTAGGGTTAGGTTAGGGTTAGGTCAAATAATGTCAAATTTGCATTAAAAATACCATAACTGAGCGAATGACACTTAATGACAGTTGTCATAAACATGCATAAAACCTCCTTCATATTCATGGCATGTGTCATGTCATGATTATGAAGGTGTCATGTCAGTCTTATGCACACCCCTTCAAGTAAAGTGTTACCAAAGGTATTTTGTCAATAGCTTAAGTCATTATAAAACCAAACAGCATTCTGTTTATCACCACGTCACAAGCTTGAATAAACACTGAGGAAATCTGGATTCCTCTTTAATACATAAAAATGAACTTTTCAAAAACATAAATATCAAGATACATATTTTGTCAAACACTTAAAATATCCTGTAATCTTTTAGCTAAAGGTCATTGCGCAGTCCTAAAGTTTCATTTTGTTAAGTATTTTGCCAGAGTGTGGGTGGGCACGTTCACCTCCACAGAGCACGTTTTTTTCAGAGACACTCCAGTGCGATCAAGACAGCGTTTCTCAGCTCAATGTATAATGCGCACACTCACAGAGACCGATTCCACAGAGCATCAGCCGTATGACAGCCCAATTACAGAGTCTGCCAGAAAGAGTCTTCCAAATTGGTCCATGAAATGGATCATTTTTAATAATAATATAACGTATATTACACTTAAGCCTGTAAAAACTAAAGTGAACTTCCAGACATGACCTAATCAAACCATCATTCAAATGGTCACTCAATGGTCAAAATGGTCATCATTCAAATTCACTTCGCCTAATTTCATTCTTTGCATTTAAAGTGTGATTGCAATTCTGCATTCTGTTTGCTACTTTAGTCAGAATTCCATTTAGATTTACAAATTAATTGGAGTTTAAAAAGCATTCTCAGTTCAGGTTTGAATGGTACACAACAGCGTGCTAGTATTTTTATTGCTAAATAAATATATTGACCTACAAAAATGTGTTTCCTCATCGTAAAACTTAAACATTTCCTATGACTTTGTAAGGAAATAGTAAAAGTGTACGATTTTTAATGAAGGTCCACCCCTAAACATGGTTAGAGACCCGGACTTGTAACCCGAAGGCTGCGGGTTCGAGTCTCGGTAAAGGCAGGAATTGTTGGTGGGGGGAGCGAATGACCAGCGCTCTCTTACATCTTCAATACCACAACTGAGGTGAGACCCTTGAGCAAGGCACCGAAATATCTAAAAATTCTTTAATCAAGATGCATTTTCTAGATAAGCAAAATGACTCAAGACATTTATTCTTGAGGGGGTTTAAGTGCATTTTGCATTAAAAAAATTATCAGCCAAATTCTCTTATACTCGTCATTTTGCTTATCTAGTAGGCCTAAAAGCATCTTGATTTAAGAATTTTTACATATGTGACCCTGGAGCACAAAACCAGTCATAAGTAGCACAGGTATATTTGTAGCAATAGCCAACAATACATTGTATGGGAAAAAATTAACGATTTTTCTTTTAAGCCAAAAATCATTAGGATATTAAGTAAAGATCATGTTCCATGAAGATATTTTGTAAATTTCCTACCGTAAATATATCAAAACTTAATTTTGATTAGTAATATGCATTGATAAGAACTTCATTTGGACAACTTTAAAGGTGAATTTCTCAATATTTAGATTTTTTTGCACCCTCAGATTCCAGATTTTCAAAAAGTTGTATCTCGGCCAAATATTGTCCTATCCTAACAAACCATACATCAATGGAAAGCTTATTTATTCAGTTTCAGATGATATATACATCTCAATTTAAAAACATTGACCCTTAGGCTAAAGAAGCTAGTCTGCAAACAGGACAGCAAGGATCTACCAGACACTTGCTGCATATGAAGCACATACAGTAAATACTGTCTTTCCCCTCTGAACTTTTACAGCCATACTCTAACATGACAACTGGAGATAGGTGGGATCTATAGTCTATGTCTGGGGTTTCAACGGAGCATAGCCTTGTTTCCAGTGTAAGTGGGCAGTTTTTCGCTAGAATAAGCAAAGTGTACCAGACCTGCTTACTGTCAGAAGTCTGGATTTGGGAAACTATTTTTTGGCTGCCGACATTCTGTTTTGGACCTTAATGTCACTAGCTGGATCCACTACACAGTGTTCTTTGTAATAGTGATCCAGGAGTCTTTTCCAAAGTTCACAGCGTTTCAACAGGTTACTATTACCTAAGAGATAACAAAAAAGTGGACATTACATGTGTGCACATAAGCAGTGGCATGAACATTTAGAGCCAATATACACAGGACCTAATGACTTAGTTTCTCGTAATAACGACTTAGTTTCTCAATGGATGCTCTGGAGTGAATGGGTGCCGTCAGAATGGGAGTCCAAAACAGCTGATAAAAACATCACAATAATCCACAAGTAATTATCAGTTAACATACTCGTGAAGCCAAAAGCTGTGCGTTTGTAAGGAACTGTCACTTCTAGCCAAAATACAAGTCCATAAATAATGCTTCCTAGAGTGAAAAAGTAATCTCATCTGAATCAGAAGAGAAATATGCACAGATCAAGGAGTGTTTACAAGCAAAAACTGTCCAAAACCTTTTATACTGAAGGAAGCATTATTATGGCTTATGGACCTTTGGCCAGAACTTAAGGTTTAAAGGGGTCATATGATGCGATTTCAATTTTTCCTTTCTCTTTGGAGTGTTACAAGCTCTTGGTGCATAAAGAAGGTCTGTAAAGTTGCAAAGACTAAAGTCTCAAATCCAAAGAGATATTCTTTATAAAAGTTAAGAGTCAGCCACGCCTACCTAAAACGGCTCGTTCTAACACGCCCCCACATATCTACCTCACTATGTGGGAAGATTTGCATAATGTTGCCCAAATGTTCACTCAAAGAAAGAAGGCGTAACTTTTATTCTCGCTGTAGTATTGTTGCTGCCGCCGCCATGTCCTGAAGACACTGTGTGCTTCGTTGTGAAAGCGAAACTACTTTGTTTGGTCTTCCAAAAGAGGACGATATCCGCTTCGTCATGCCTGGAGCTGATCCGTGCTGGTCGCTGAGGGAATACATCAACTTAGTGCTGTGGATCGCCGGATCGGCTTTCACCGTGGACGAAGCCCGGGGTCGTCTCATGTGCTTGCCGCTCCTTCATCGGATCTGCCGGCCGCGCTGTTCTCGACCCCGCTGCCTCTGCTCACTCTAATCCGGCCCCAGCTCACGCTAAGCCGGGGCTTCCACTCATGCTAGGCCGCTGCGTTTTTCGTTGTGAAAGCGAAACTACTTTGTTTGGTCTTCCAAAAGAAGACACGACTACAAATCAGTGGTTAAGTTGTATTTACAACACTGTTCCAGAACACTTCAACCCAAATATCCAGATGTGTGCAGCGCATTTTTTGGAGGACTGTTTCCTGATCCTGGTAGAGTAATGTTAGACTAAAATGCCGGCAGTTCTGACTCACGTGAGTACGTTTTCATTTAAAGGATTTGCCACTGATGATTCAAACGCGAGTTTTGGGCAGTAGAGTAGCACTTGTTGTTTGTCATTTCTCTGATCACAAATGCAGACAGGGTTTTATGTTTACGCGGCGCGATGCAATGCAACGCAACGCATAAAAAGACAGTATAAGTCATTATAATCAGTAATTATGTCCCCACTGGATGCAACAAAGACCTCATTTGTAATGGGTTTTCATGTTTTTGTCTTGTCGCTCCGGCCGGACACGGCATCAACAGTATGGTGAGGGGCGTAACATTTCCGTCACACGCTTGAGGTATTCGGCCAATCACAACGCATTGGATAGCTGGCCAATCACAGCACACCTCGCTTTTCAGACCGATGAGCTTCGTAAAAATCGACGCGTTTCAGAAAGGCGGGGCATAGAGGAGAAACAATAATGTACAGTATGTGGAAAATAATGTGTTTTTTTTACTTTTAAACCGCATAAACATGTCATTACACCAAATAATGCTCTTTATAGCAGCATCATATGACCCCTTTAATGTTAAAACATCTTGATGGATTTGTTTCTTACAAACATTCCGTTGATGCACTGGAGTGGTGTGGATTACTTGTGGATTATTGTGATGTTTTTATCAGCTGTTTGGACTCTCATTCTGACGGCACCCATTCACTGCAGAGCATCCATTGGTTGAGGAAGTGATGCAAGGCTAAAAATCTCTAAATCTGTTCTGATGAAGAAACTAATTTTGGGTGCACTATTCCTTTAATAGGACATTTACAGTTGTGAGGGAAGATCTAGAATTTGTTTGCATTCGTCACCTGATCTGATCATTTGATTTATAAAACAATGACATTTTTTAATGTGGCTTTTTGTGGTCATTGTATGAGAATTCTTCACTTCTTACCCAGAATGACCAGCCCATCCTGTGCACGAGTTATGGCGACATTGACCTGATTTGGATCAGTAATGAATCCAAGTCTTTTTCCAAGCCAGGCTTTACTTGGTCTGTCGCTTTCTATATCAGAGCAGGAGCGCACAGCAGACAGGATCACATATGGCCACTCACTTCCTGTACACAGCAATTTACATTCAGACTGGTAAACATTCTGTGTCAAATCTACCTGTCTCACTTTATATTTACACATTATTTATATAGCGCCTTTAAAGCAAGCTTCACAAAAGATGCTTACACAGAGAACAGAAAAACATTAAAATATAGAATTGCAAAATAATAAAAACAACTAAAAGCTTTTCTAAAAAAAATTTTTTTAAGATACAACTTAAATAAAGAGACTGAGCATGAATTGAAATAGAATTAAAAAAATTGCACAATTTAATCTAAATCTCTATAATGATGCATTTTGAATAACACACCTTGGCTTTTCATGATTGTGCAAACAGAGACATTTGCAAGATGCCTCTTCTTTAATATATTTTTGATCTCTGACACCTGTGCGTTGTAAGGGGTCAGAATCGCAATATGCTCAGGTTCCACACGTGACTGTTTAATTAACAGACCTGCCACACGGACCTGGGGGGAACCAACATAGAAATTACATGCAAGGAAGTACTGGAATATGATGCACTGAGTGAGACGGATATGCTTCGCTCATACTGCCTTTAAGTTCTTCTAAGATATTTCTGCTTATGAAATGAGGTGAGGTAATAATAATAATAATAATGTTTTTGTCATGTTTTGGAACTTCATATCCACTGGATGTGTAATTTATATTTTACCTGGCCATTTTATCACTGTATGAATTTTGTCATACAAGCCTGTAGCTTCTTAAACACCTAAATGACTAGTATTTTCTTTTAGATTTTACATTTTTCAGCAACTCACAGATGAGTAGGGTCAAACATTTAACTAATAGATATCACCAGTTGATTACTTGCATTCAGAATTGCAAAATTGTTTTGTATTGCAAGATTTTTGCTTGTAAAGTGCTATTTTAAATATGTAAATTAGGCATTATATAATTAGATATGTGCTAAATTTACCTACATTTTCGGAACAGCATATTAGAGTCAAAGGTTTTTACAGAACAAGAACCAGAGAAACACCCACTTTTCTTGGCTGAATGACTTTTGTAGCTTTAATAAGGATTAATCTATATTTAATTAATTCATTGAATTTTAAATGGCTGAAGGCAGCATGAGGATCTGACTTACAGCCTGCTCTGCCTCCTCAGTGTTGGCCACTGAGTTCTCATTGCCCGCTTTTGTAGATACCACTAAACGGTCTTCTTTTCCTTGCACGTGGCCAAACAGAATCGCCGTTGGCAGTTTGTACTTGTTTAGCAGGTAGCGGCGTCCTCGTTCAGCTCCGGTTTTCAATTTGCCTTCATAAAATTCTTTTGAAGGAAACCTGCAAATTTCTTCATGCTGACATGTGTGTGCATTTGTTAAACACCAAAGCAAAATGAAAACGTTGTTAGTCTTTGTACGGATTGTTTTCTATTGTTATTTGAGGGAGGATCTTTTAGCAGTTCAGGATCAGTTCTTTTACCATTCTGTACTGTGTATCCAGCATAATGGCCAGATCCATGTAGCGTTTAAACAGAGACTGCTGCATGCCCATCTTTTTCACGAGGGCACACTGCACTATCGGCCGTATCTGTCGGTGATCGCCCAGCAAAACAATCTGACAAAAAAAAAAAAACAGTGAGACAATAACTTTTATTTGTAAAGATGCATGTCTTCCATTCCTAATGTGGCTATACACAGAATTGCAATTCAATACCATCTTCCATCTACCAGAATCTCATGTCTCTTTAGTTCTGTTTGAAAATGGAAAATAATGATGATGATGATGATGATGATGTCATTCCAGCACTCACCTGCCTTGGACTGTAGGAAACTAAAGGGATGAAGGCCTCTGGTTCTGTTGCCATGGCACATTCATCAATGATTATTTGCTGAAAATCCATGACCGCCAGGATTTCAGGTTTCAGTGCTGTTGAGCAGGTGCACAACACTACATCATATTTCTGAATCTCATGCTTGTGAGCTTCCTTCAACTGTTTCCTGTAGCTGCAAAGTCACATTTACCACATTATCAGAATGATGATGGCATTGACAGAAACACTGGGTTTTAGAATAATGGCTCTTAATTTTTATGGGATATCTTTATATTGGATATATTGGTCCGAATTTTCTTAATGTCTCGTAAAAAATGATCTTACGTTTCTCATACATGCATCATGGTGGCAGCCTCTAAATGCAAAAAATTAAAAAACGGCTCAAAATATTTTACTCACGTGTCTATTTCATCCTCTGTTAAGTCAATCTTTTCAAAGTTTTTTATTTTTTCCGAAAAATCATTCCCAGTTTTACGAACAAGGTACATCAGTGTAATATCCCTGCAACAAAATTCGACATTAATGGGTATATTCATACACTATTTGTTATGTCTGTGGGTCCAAATGTCTATCACTGGTAGACAGTAACATTTTCACATTCAAAGATAATTAGATAAAAAGTGTAATAAAGACATTGCACCAGCTAAATAGCCATGGTTTCCTTATTCTTAATAATTAAAAAAAAATATGGTAACTCTTTCTATGAAGCCCATATTTATAATACATTATAAGGGTATTCTTAAAAGCATTATAAAAAACCTTATAATATATTATATCATCTTATGAATATTCATAAGAACAGTTTTAATGCATCATAATATTTACTTATTTGTGGTTATAGCTTCTAAGAGTATGATGATTTATAACACACTGTGACCACATTGCATCCACTTAAGTTACAAACATTGTTGTTACAAACCATCAAAATAAAATGTAACCTAACATATAAGCATTGCAATTTTTTTAAATAAAATGATTAAATAGCTCACATCAAAATTAATATTAGCCTCACAGGGAACACTCAAATAACCTAACCACTTACAAGATGTAGTAAGATACTGTGCAGATCTTAAATAAACAATGTCAAGATATATAGTCCATTATAAATGTAAAAGTAGATTTAATATAGTGTTCATTATGTGTTATAAATAATCATAATCTTAAAACTTAAAACCACAAATGCGTAAGAATTATAATGTATTATAATTGTTGTTATGATTATTTATGAGATGATAAAACATATTATAAGGTATTTTATAATGCATTATGCATTCATTGTAATGCCTTAAGAATACTTGTGTAATGCATTACAAATATGGGCTTAATAGAAAGTGTTACCAAAATGATATTTAGCCACTCGAAAATCAAGATTACTGTTTTGATGTGAATATATAAGGTACATTTCTAGTTTCAATAACATTTGTTTTACATTCATATTTGAATATACTATATTCTGTATATACTGTATTTATATGCATGTACTGTGTATATAACCATTTGGTTTTCAACCACTGAAAATTCCACAATTGATGAAGCAACTTTGAGATCCCCATATATCTGGGACTGAACCATACAGGGTCTTAAAATGAAGAGACCAAAAAAAAACAAAATGCCTAAAGGATATTGAGATACGCTGCATCTCTGTACGTTTCATCTTAGGATAATAGTTATATATTATACATAATTACAGATAATTATGTACATAAAATGTATCTTTGAGTATGGTTGTATGGAAAGCACTTATATGGAGATGGTCTGGGCGTGTTTTATGCAAATGACTAACCTCATCCACGCGGTCGCTCATGTAGAATATTCCAAATGTATTAACATTAGGACGATGTTAAGAACAAATTCATGTCCGTACGCACATGTTGTGAATTAGGTAGACATTTTTCACGAGAAGTTTGATTGTGTGTAATATGAATAATGTACACAATTATTAGTGAATGAGACCTTTTTGTGCTTTTGTTGTGGCATTGTTTCAACAATGTTATGCAACATCACAGCATTTATTTCCATCAAGAGTTGCATTCATTATTTGGCTGAGATTTTGTATTTATCTTGTATTGACAATACTTTTTCAATAGGGTTAAGCTCAGTCAATTTGCCTTCATAAAATTCTTTTGAAGGAAACCTGCAAATTTCTTCATGCTGACATGTGTGTGCATTTGTTAAACACCAAAGCAAAATGAAAACGTTGTTAGTCTTTGTACGGATTGTTTTCTATTGTTATTTGAGGGAGGATCTTTTAGCAGTTCAGGATCAGTTCTTTTACCATTCTGTACTGTGTATCCAGCATAATGGCCAGATCCATGTAGCGTTCAAACAGAGACTGCTGCATGCCCATCTTTTTCACGAGGGCACACTGCACTATCGGCCGTATCTGTCGGTGATCGCCCAGCAAAACAATCTGACAAAAAAAAAAAAACAGTGAGACAATAACTTTTATTTGTAAAGATGCATGTCTTCCATTCCTAATGTGGCTATACACAGAATTGCAATTCAATACCATCTTCCATCTACCAGAATCTCATGTCTCTTTAGTTCTGTTTGAAAATGGAAAATAATGATGATGATGATGATGATGATGTCATTCCAGCACTCACCTGCCTTGGACTGTAGGAAACTAAAGGGATGAAGGCCTCTGGTTCTGTTGCCATGGCACATTCATCAATGATTATTTGCTGAAAATCCATGACCGCCAGGATTTCAGGTTTCAGTGCTGTTGAGCAGGTGCACAACACTACATCATATTTCTGAATCTCATGCTTGTGAGCTTCCTTCAACTGTTTCCTGTAGCTGCAAAGTCACATTTACCACATTATCAGAATGATGATGGCATTGACAGAAACACTGGGTTTTAGAATAATGGCTCTTAATTTTTATGGGATATCTTTATATTGGATATATTGGTCCGAATTTTCTTAATGTCTCGTAAAAAATGATCTTACGTTTCTCATACATGCATCATGGTGGCAGCCTCTAAATGCAAAAAATTAAAAAACGGCTCAAAATATTTTACTCACGTGTCTATTTCATCCTCTGTTAAGTCAATCTTTTCAAAGTTTTTTATTTTTTCCGAAAAATCATTCCCAGTTTTACGAACAAGGTACATCAGTGTAATATCCCTGCAACAAAATTCGACATTAATGGGTATATTCATACACTATTTGTTATGTCTGTGGGTCCAAATGTCTATCACTGGTAGACAGTAACATTTTCACATTCAAAGATAATTAGATAAAAAGTGTAATAAAGACATTGCACCAGCTAAATAGCCATGGTTTCCTTATTCTTAATAATTAAAAAAAAATATGGTAACTCTTTCTATGAAGCCCATATTTATAATACATTATAAGGGTATTCTTAAAAGCATTATAAAAAACCTTATAATATATTATATCATCTTATGAATATTCATAAGAACAGTTTTAATGCATCATAATATTTACTTATTTGTGGTTATAGCTTCTAAGAGTATGATGATTTATAACACACTGTGACCACATTGCATCCACTTAAGTTACAAACATTGTTGTTACAAACCATCAAAATAAAATGTAACCTAACATATAAGCATTGCATTTTTTTCAATTAAAATGATTAAATAGCTCACATCAAAATTAATATTAGCCTCACAGGGAACACTCAAATAACCTAACCACTTACAAGATGTAGTAAGATACTGTGCAGATCTTAAATAAACAATGTCAAGATATATAGTCCATTATAAATGTAAAAGTAGATTTAATATAGTGTTCATTATGTGTTATAAATAATCATAATCTTAAAACTTAAAACCACAAATGCGTAAGAATTATAATGTATTATAATTGTTGTTATGATTATTTATGAGATGATAAAACATATTATAAGGTATTTTATAATGCATTATGCATTCATTGTAATGCCTTAAGAATACTTGTGTAATGCATTACAAATATGGGCTTAATAGAAAGTGTTACCAAAATGATATTTAGCCACTCGAAAATCAAGATTACTGTTTTGATGTGAATATATAAGGTACATTTCTAGTTTCAATAACATTTGTTTTACATTCATATTTGAATATACTATATTCTGTATATACTGTATTTATATGCATGTACTGTGTATATAACCATTTGGTTTTCAACCACTGAAAATTCCACAATTGATGAAGCAACTTTGAGATCCCCATATATCTGGGACTGAACCATACAGGGTCTTAAAATGAAGAGACCAAAAAAAAACAAAATGCCTAAAGGATATTGAGATACGCTGCATCTCTGTACGTTTCATCTTAGGATAATAGTTATATATTATACATAATTACAGATAATTATGTACATAAAATGTATCTTTGAGTATGGTTGTATGGAAAGCACTTATATGGAGATGGTCTGGGCGTGTTTTATGCAAATGACTAACCTCATCCACGCGGTCGCTCATGTAGAATATTCCAAATGTATTAACATTAGGACGATGTTAAGAACAAATTCATGTCCGTACGCACATGTTGTGAATTAGGTAGACATTTTTCACGAGAAGTTTGATTGTGTGTAATATGAATAATGTACACAATTATTAGTGAATGAGACCTTTTTGTGCTTTTGTTGTGGCATTGTTTCAACAATGTTATGCAACATCACAGCATTTATTTCCATCAAGAGTTGCATTCATTATTTGGCTGAGATTTTGTATTTATCTTGTATTGACAATACTTTTTCAATAGGGTTAAGCTCAGTACTCTGTGGTCACCAATTCATGAAAACAATTCCTCATGCTCACTGAACCACTATTTCACAAATTAAGCCTGGTGAATCTTGGCATTGTATTCCTGGAATATGTGCATGGGTACGTCTTCTGACATGATTGTTTGAGAAACAAAAGGCTACACTGGGGTTAAATAGATTGTTGTGAAACATATAACAGGCCAGAAACATATTAATTACCGCAGTAATGATTCAATCCTAAAATCTTCAGTATTTGCTTATTTAAAATACAAATGGAAACTTTTTTTTGGCCAGGCATTGTATATAATATTTCTTGAGTTACAGGCATGCCAACTTTGGAAAAAGAACACCAAAGGACTTTTTCCCATTTCTGAACTGTTACCACTGGCATATAATACAACAAGGATTGCTGAAGTGAACAGATTTTACTAATAGATCTCTGTAAAAATTAAATAATGAAGCTACCATTTCCAAGTCATTTTCCACCCTGTAATTTGGCTCCAAATCTTTGGACCTCAAAAAAAAAAAAACTTACTTGAGCTCCTCTTTTGGTTTTTCATCACGGAGTGATTTGCGGCAAAGCTTTAGATCACTGCCTGTATATGGATATACACACATTTCCATCTGGTCACAATAGATTCTCAGAGGCTTTAGGACTCCCTTGAGTTTTAGCAACTGTTCTGGGATACAAGATCCGTGGAGTCATGTAAGTACAGTTTATCTGGTAAAACAGAGCCTGAAACTCTATGCATGCAGGAAAATGCTAATGCTTCAAACAAGTTTGTTTTCACTATCTTTGCACTTGCACTACCATTGGGAACTGAGTTTCATTATCCCAGTAAAACAAGTATATAGTATAACAAACATATAATATGTTTCTGGTTTCCTTTTAAAAACTCAATAGTTCTACATTTGTATACACAATCAGAGTTTAAGCTATATAATATAAAAGACCACCAAACACAATTCACCTGCAACAATGTCCACAGACTTGTTGGAAGGTCCACAGTAGAGGATGGCAGGCTTTTTGGGGGGTTTCTCATCAAGGGTTGATTTGGAAGATTTTGAAAATTTGGAAGAGGCCAGCAAGTCTTGGTTCTTCATGAAAAACTGGTAAGCAATGTGAATACCAACCACTGTTTTCCCTGTACCTGTGGATGAAAAATGGTGTGGTGAAGAAGTAAACTTCTTAAGCATTGTCCACAACACATCTTCATTCCCAAGACTACAAATCAATCTGATTAATAGACAGTATTGATTTTTACATTTTCTGTAAAAGATCTGAATGGTGTTTGAAACGTGGCTGCCATTGTGCTGTCCTGAATGGTTGTTTTCTGATATTTCAAAATATCTGATATTCTAAATGCTACGATTTGAAGTGTCATTCATATGCATATAAAATAGGTGCAGGACAACCAATGCATCAATACACAGGGTTAGGATAATCCTTAACTACCGAACTCCAGGTGTGAGCAATAATATTAGTGTAAACACTACTCACAATAGTGAACATGATGAATCTGCAATAGACAAATCTGTGAAATCAAATATCAATTTGGAAATGTTGTGACATTTATTGAACTCCTTAATACTGAAACTAAAAATACATTACCTTACAAAGTTCTGCAAGATATTCCAGGAGTAACTTATTAGTATATTGCATTATTACATTATTAGTATATACAGTATTTTAAACAGTACCTGGTGGGCCCTGGATCACCGTGAAAGGTTTCTTCACAGCCTCCTCAACAGCTTTCTGCTGGCTCTCATTCAGACATGGCAGGTTCAGGCTTTCGTCCACATTGTCCAAGCTGATATTTTTATAAGCTTCTAAGTCGAGAGGGTTTTAAGCACATTAAAATAATAAGTTATATAAAATATCTATAGACCAAACCAGACAAAGCAGTATTCCCTTACCACCCTGTCTAAATCACCCATTTCAAATTTGTTATTAATTTAAATTTTTTTGTAGAAATTCATATGAAGGCAGAAATTTGACTGGTCCGCAAAACAAATCTTGAGTATTTACTCGTATGCCTTTAGTTCAGTTCATTTTTTACTTGTGCCTTTAGTTATATTACTTCGACAAGTTATTTAGGCTATTTCAAAGTTCCTTACAGCCTAAAAAAACACTGATATGTCTTGTAATTAGTGTAATAATTGATGCAGAGCTGTAGAATTATTCAAAAATAATGCACTCCAGAGGTGTAATGCCCATGATTATTAAGTTATCATGAAATAAAATGACACATTTTGTGAGATATGATTTTGCCTATCTGTCATGTTGTCCCACTTACTGGCATTCACTTCTTTAAGATTTTGTCTAGTGGCGACATTCTTCACCAAGTTATTAGCCCGTTTTAGGTTTTCAATTACATGTTCTCTGAGCCTGCAAAAAGACTGCATTAGTATTATGTTTAATTGTGTATAAATCTGAAATGCATCAGCAGGATGAATGAACATCACTCACAAATATGGAATTTTTTTGGGAATGACCTCAATGGTGAAGTTTGTTTCCTGTTCAGAAACATTGGGTGGGATGTAACTTATAGATCTTTTTGTAACCTGAAATGTAATTTTGTCTTGATTGTCTTCATTCTTCTGTTTCTTTGGTTTGGTGGTTACTGCATGTGCAACCCATGTAAAAGGTAGTGAACCCTGCAGGTCTAAAATTTCAGAACTATCCAGATGTTCTGCATCATTCTCACTGTTCTCCGGTTTCTGATCTCTTAATCTAATGCACAAGAAACAGTTGCCAACATCAAACTCCAGACACCACTGTTTTTTCTGAGTCTTCGTTAGATAAAAGAACCCTTGGAGATTTGTTTCATCTCCACTCCAGGTTATATGAACACCCTCTAAGATGACACTGTCATTTTCTTCCAAAGCATTGTAAGCGGTGTCAATCTGACATAGTTGGCTCCAGATGTTTTGGTACTCCTTGTAGCTCTCATAGACAGGCTTTGATGCATTGCATACTGTTTTGGAAAAACAATCAATAGGGTTTCTTGTGTGCTCCAAACAGATCTCAAAACATTGATTAACACTGAGCAGTTGAACTACAGGAACTGGAAAGCCATCTTGGAGTTCAGTCCCAAGCTGCACCTGAACAACTGCTGCCAACTTCAGCTCCATGGTTGGCTCCTTATAATGGGTTTGCTTAGTTGAACAAGCCTCACTTGTACGCCTTTCCTTTTCTTCATTCTCACCTTTTTTCATGTTTCGGAGGCATTGCTTAATCTTAACCCAATCCTGCTGTTTCATGGCATATACCAGTCTTTTCCACATGTTACTTGACACTGGTGTCACATTCTTCATGAGATTTGACGGATATGAACTCTTGAACAATTTTCCGAAAGAATACGATCTTCTCTTCCAGCGAAGAGTCATGGAGTTATCTTCCTTGTTGTAGCTTGGCTGATCCACAACTTTAAGATGCTTGTACATGATGGTGATGACGTCTAAATTAGAATGTAGCGGGAAGGATATTGTGAATTCATGCCCCTGTGGAGTGAGCTGGTCCACCACCACAAGCTTAACCACATCTTTGGGTTTAAACTGAACCTTTCTTAGTTTCAGAATCAGAGCATCATGCTTCTCTTCTGCATCCATTCCAGACAGACAGAACCTGTTGATTTCAACTTGAGTGTAGTCAGCTTGCTTTAGGATCTCCTTAGAGAGCATGGTGTGCAGAAGTCTCAGCAAGATAAGGTCCAGATAACGTCTTATAGGAGATGACGCCCAGGTGTAGGCGTTTAGCCGTAAATCATAGTGACCCAACTTGGAATCCGTTGAGGAACATGACCGAAGGATGACGGCTTTCTTCTGAATGTCACGAAACTCCCGCACCATAGGGATAAGTGTGGGATGGATTTCATCGGAAACAATTAACCGCATTAGATTATAATGGTCTTTGCTCTGTGCAAACTCTTCCATTTTTTTAAATATGGATGTGAATATATTAAATGGTATGCCATGGTGCTCCATATTTTCATATTGTGGATTGGTCCAAACTTGCTCTTCACTATCAGTATCTACTTCACAAATATTTGAAAAGTAAGGCGACATGGGAATTAGCTCAGCATATTTCTCCTTAAACTGAGTCAGTTGTTCTGGGTCCGGCTCCCTGTGGCACCTCAGTGGTGTGAGATCTCTTGTGACGTCTGTAGATATGAGTTTTTCGGCTGCGGCACTATTGTAGAGATTCATTAGCTCCTCCACCATGGCGTGAGAGCGGCTTTGCCCTGCCTGCCCTCCAAACAGCCACCCACCTTCAAGTCTGTGTTTTCGGTGCACTTCTGAGAAATGGCAAGCGACAGCTAAACAATCCTCCACGCAAGAGAACCGCAGAGACTCAGTGTCATCCAAGCAGTACTTCTGAATATTTTCATCTGCCTCTTCATACGACATCCGTCTGTTAGACCTAATGAGGGTTTGATCAAAATTTATGTTTAGTATATTACTTGTTTTCTTGTCAACATCTACCAGCAAGGATATGGCTTTCCGAATCTTATTAGGCAACAAACTTAAGTGATTTTTGCTCAGCTCTCTTGAAAACATGAAATTTACGTCTCCCTTCTCTGGAGTGTAAATTGTTTTGCCGCGCAGTCTAGCGAATTTGTCTTGCTCGCTATCTTTGGAAATGACACTTGCGACATCTGTAATGTGAATACCAATCTGATAGCTATCACAGTTAATTTTCCTCACACTAATGGCGTCATCCAGGTCTTCAGCTTTAGGTGGGTCAATAGTGAAAGTGATAATGTCACACAATCGTGTCCTGTCTAAAGCCTTATCGTCTTCAGGTTCTTGTAGTTTGAATGGTGGAGGGGTGTCTTTACAACCAAGTTCAATGTCTAGCATTTCATCCAAAGCATCACACTCTGGAATTACTTTTGTAACCACTCCAAGAGGGTATCTTTTCCCATTTTCCCATTTTATAACCTTGACTACCAGCATTTCATTCTCAGCAATCTTTAAAAAATTCTTTTTCACCCAGCACCCATTCTTGTATTGTCGTATTTCAACTATGCCCATGTCAGGCTTTGTTTGAACCATTTGTATTCTGGTCATGTGTTTGTTAACAGGTGCAACAAGTTTTGGGTTGCCTTCCACCATCTTACAGATGAAGGTTAGGGAGTTTTCATCTCTATTTATTAGTCCAACAACCCTCCCTTTTAACACTTCACCTTCCTGCGGACACTGCTCTCTGTCCAAGATCTCTACACAGACTTCATCTTCAGGAAAATACCTGCCCACATTTTTTCTTCCACAGATTTTGATACAGAGCGTTGGTTCATCAAGAGGCCTGGCATACGCCTGATCGTGTCTTTCCATTACAAGTTTACAGTGTTTGAAAACATCTGGATTGGTATTCAAATGTTCTTCAATATCTTTCTTGCAGAGTTCTTGATCAAATTCAGAGTCAAACTGCAGACTCATGGTTTCAATGAGGGTTTTACAAACGGTCTTGGAGTGATTCTCCTCTGCGTTGCTCCTGCTTGCAGAGTCACTCTCTTCTGATATAGAGGTCTCCTTGTACTTTCTGTTTGGATTTGCACCTGCAAACACAAATTGAGACATTAGGCACTTAATGTCGGCATGAAATGAAAATTTACCCTATTTGTTTTGTAAATGTCATAACTGGAAATTCCTGTGAAACATCAGACTTCTGTCTGGTGACATATGCCAAACTTCTCCAATCATTTAATCACTAAACTCTGCCCCTGTAATCTCACCCTCATCTGGCTCCATTTTTGAGTGCAACACCCACAGATCAAAATCCTATCAACACTGGATGCATAAAAACAAGTCCTGTCATATTTTTTTCTCTCTTTCAATAATCTGTTACATTCAGATGCACAGTGTAGTATTCTTACGTTTGGCTCAGCCAATCATATGTCAGAAACAACGTATTCTCTGTTCCTATTGGCTGTATCACATGTCAGTATAGGTAATGCAAATCAGGCATGTGGGGTTGTGTGTTTTACTGCTGAGGAGTTAGCACTCATGTTGTGTAGCTGAAAAGTGTTAATAAATAACTACATGCTAAAGCTGATTATGCGTGCATCATCATAAAGAAAACACGACATGGTGTCAGAGTGAACGGATGATATATAGAAAAGATGGATGCTGCCGGAGTCCCAATGCCCACGATGAACTGGGAAGCAACTAACCTGCCCGAGTCATGGCGCAAA